ATCCATTTCCACCTGGAAAAGAGGAATGTGAATGCTATTCCCATTCCATGTGTTCTCTTTCCCCAGTGTTAAGCTAGCAGCTTGCTGGATCCTGGACTAGGTTTCTGCTGATAACAATCATCTGTGGGATTTTAAGGGATGTTAAAATGGCAAGAGGCATTGTAAAGAGACAGCTGATTGACAGGCTGGCAAATGTTTTTTTGTTACTTGTTTTAAATGTTGTTCTTTTGTTGACAAGGAAATAAAATCACACTGGAGTGCTGCACTTGGAAGTGATATTTATGCAAATAAGAACTTCCATGTATATGCATATGCAATTATTTGTGTGTAAGTACGATGACAGGCAGATATAATGACAACCAAGGCAACTCAGCCGTTCCCTTGATGGATTATCATGGTGTGGGCAGTAAACTGAACTACATACCAGGACTAAGGAAGCATCTCTGATGGAAGGAGGCTTTCCAGTAGGCATTCTGCTGAGACCATCCACTGGCTGGCTGAGAGATGTCAGCTATGGATGAAAGTAAGCGTGTGCTGCTGTCTGGGCAGCGTGAACAGATAAATAAACTGCAGAAAGTTACTTTCAGAACTAGCAAAAACTGAACATATTGCTCACTGGTCAGCTGAACACAGATTTGTTACTATCACTGGACCTGAATCAGGAACTAGTTTATAAGGATCTCACATCAGATTCGTGTGTGAGTAGAGTAAGTACTGCAAGCATTTTTTAAGTAGTGCCAAGTCAGCTGATGCAGATAACTTGCCTGCCTGTGCTCAGCAAAATAAGGAGATGTATTTAGTTTTAGCTGACATATTTTATTGTAGTTGAATTTGTAAGCCTTCTAGTGGGTCTTATATAATCTGATATTAAATCATTCAGGGGTATACAACAGATTTTGTCATAATGCTAGTATGACCCTGTTGGCTACTTTCATGCAGTTTTACAACTGCATAAATTAAGGTTTTAAGAGATGTTTAACTGTTTGTTTTATATAACGTTACTTGATCTGTATTAAACAGTCAAACAACCCCTTATACATATGTTATATATACAATTTGTTAAATATACATTTCTAATGTAAGAATGGTGAATTTTGTTATTCAGACCCAAAGAACCAGGCTGGTATCAGACATTAATCAGTCTGTACTTTCCAGTTCTGGTACTTTTCTAATGAACTATGGAATGTGGTAGAAGATACACAGAGACAAGTCATGGAACTTCTTACTTCTTAGCTTTTTATCTACACAGGCAAAACTCCAAGGAAGGCACTGTATAGCTAAGATGCCTGTGCTCAAAGAAAATACACTTGCAATAACCTTAATTACATACACAGTTCTACAAATGAGATGTAAAGCCAGCTTTGTGTATGTACATAAAATAACTGTTCAGTTAAAAACATCATTGATTTCTGTTCCTGATAAATAAAATCTAGTATGGATTTCAAACAATTATATACAACTATCTATAAGTTATTATCTAGGAGACAATAACGCATGTATGTCACTACTTTTTAAGCTGTATCACTTCACCTAAGTATTGACAAGCTTGATTTGCACTGCACTTGAGTGCATTAGATTATTAATGTCTGGAGCCCATGAGAGATTTGTTTTCACTACATGTAACCACATTTGAGACAGAGCAGTTTGGGTGCCTCTACAGCTTGTCTCAGGCACTTTCCAAAAGTGCTCTTTCTGTGAGAGAGATGAATTGCCAGAAAGATTTGTTACTACTACTAAATACTGTTCAGTTTTACAGTCATTAACTACCAGTCTCTTTTTAGAGTTAAAAGGTTTTGTACTTAGTACTTGCATTTACATTAGGATGCTCACAAGAGCTGTCTTGTGCCACAGTGTGAAATAAATGTTGAAAATAGCTTTCTTCTCTAATTAGGCTTGTTTGTAAACAAATTTAAAAAATATAAACGAAGTAATGAAGGATAGACTTATGTTGTACAAAAACTAGGCTGCTGGAAAAGATCAGGAGACTGCTCTGTGGGGTAGATATATGAAAGACATATTCCTGATGGGTTTTTTTTCTGCATAGTTTTTGTTAGATGAACTGGTATTTCTTATGGCAAAACCTTTCAGACCTCTATAAAAGGAGGATAAAAATTTGAAAGGATGAGTTTTGTGAGTGCATTAAGACAGCATAGCAATTTATTGTGTTGATGAGTACCTCGGTTGTAAAAGCAGTAAGAAAATTGCCCTACAATTCAAAACATTGCAAGAAGATTGAGAAGGAAGACCTGTTTTCCAGGGAATTAGCACAGGATAGGGGAGCTTCAGGACAACTGGCAAGATCCAGGCTGTCTGTGCCCTCCCTGCTCCCTGAGCCAGTATGAGCCCCTCTTTAGCTCTAACAGCCAGAGGCACAGCATGTTTAACCTGGATGAAATGATGTACCTGCAGAGGTTGTTTTTATTCTCTTGGTTGCAACTGTGATGGAATGCTAACAGCTTACAAAATATGGAGAGATCCTGCCATTATTGCAATACTCTCAAATAGGGTATAATGGTGACCAAGGTGCTCCTACCCCCAAGGCTTCCCTTTCACTTCATGCCCTTGCTTTCTGTGTTAGCTCCCTAGCACAGACTCCTCAGCTCTGCAACTCATATGCCTTATTTTAAACAAGCAGAATTAGAATACAGAAGGCAACCACAAATTTACTAATCACATACTTATAAACTCATATTTACAGTATTTTTCAAATACTCCCTCATGTTTCCTCTTAATTACTAGAAGATTGTAATTCTCTATATCCATCCTGTAGCTGATTAGAACTGTAGAACAGTCAGCTAAACCAGAACAAAGCTATTACATTCCTATGTCTTCTACATACCACTTTGTTACAGACAACTTTGATACGTGATGTAATTTCCTGCATCTGCACACAAACAAATTAAACTAAAAAATAGGATCCTATGGCTGTGTTTCAAATGTCTTCTATGAAAATAGGGGGGAATTTGCAGGAGAATTTTATGTGGCAAAGCAGATAACCTTCTCTAATACTTAAACCACTTGAGAATACTACAGTTTATCATAAATGTCAGTGCTTTTTCCCTGCTCACATATCCTTGATTAGATGAGAGGCTATTTCACAAGATTTATTTTGGACAGGCATGACATATAAGAATTCTGCTTGTAAGATCTTGCAAATAAGGTTGATGAAAGGTTGACTGAGAGAAAAGGGTAGCAGTCTCAAGATATCATTCTCTAATACCTAACAAATGATACTGATGCCCTAAATCTTCCCTATGGCCAATAGCAACTCGGGGAATACCTAACCCTGGAAGTGCCTTACCTACAGCAATGTGCAGCACTCAGTTCTTCACTCTAACACAAGGTCATCTGTGCTCCACTGAGATCCAGAACCTAGATTTTCCCCTTAAATACGCTGAGGAATTCAAAGTAAAGGTATCTTTTATATGTAGAAGACATCATCCCACAAACTGCAGATACAGATTTTAGTGTTTCACTATGGGAATGGACTGAAATATTTTCCTTTCATGTAACAGCCATCAGACATAAAGGCATACACGACTAAGAGCATAAAATTGCAGTAGGGCATTGTGACCACCTATAGGAAGCATGCAGTGAAGTCCTCTTCCTCAAGCTTGGTGACATCAATCACAGAGACACATTGGGGTGTCCCAGCCAATTCTGCTACTGAGCAGTGTATTCCCATGGATGTGGCAGATCCTGCTGTGCTCGTTGTTACCTCTCTGTGCTGGACCTTGACACAAATGTCACTGCCAGTCTTGTCCACAGGTCTCAGTGGTAACAGCTGGGTCTTTGAGGCTCACTGGGTTAGTACAGGCTGCTTTTACTCACCTGGGCAAATCCTCTGCGAAAAATGAGGTTCACATATTTTTTATATAGAATTTAGAAAGTTGAATAGAAAGACAATTAGGAGATAGAAATAAGGTAAAATGTACAAATATGGCCGGGTGTCTCTGCATTCAGCCAAGAGAGCACACCTTAATAACGAAGGATTGTCCCTTAAAAACAGAGCCCTATTACATATTCATAAATTCTCATACATAATTCAAACATTTCTCTTAAGTTTTAGATGTTTCTTTCTTTAGTTTTAACTTGCCCCCTCCCTAATAGAGCAATCTTCTCAGCTCCATTCAGTCTCACACTCTCCAGTAACAGAGGTGCAATAAATTCCTCCCCTGGAACACTGGTCACCACTGTCTTCATCTGGATAAGATAATCTAAGAATGCAGGGGGAGTTACTATCTTTTCAGTCTCTGGGTTATATAAACAAAAGTAGTTTTTGCTTTAATATCATGTTATAGCCTAACATATATATGTATTATACCACTATTCCTAAGTTTCATCAATAACAGAAATATAAGGAACTGTATTAATACAACGAATTTTTCTAACCTTATACATATAACATTCATTTCAACATTTGCGAAAAGCCAATAATGTAATATGCATTATAACATCCTCCTTGCCCACGCTTGTCCCCACATGTGCAGCCCCGCAGTGATGGAGCACCCCGAGGGCTGAGCCCCGTCTGTCCCAGTTTCCCTGGCCCTAGCGGGGGGCAGCCATGGCAGCGGGGAGCGGACAGCGAGCACCGCTGCCAACTGCGGCCGGACACGGCTCTCCGAGCGCCGCTGACAGCCCAGGCTGCGAGCTGCCCGAGAGCTGAGAGCCCCGAGCGCAGATAAACCCGTCTAGCTCATTCAGACGCACAAGTCAGCGCCGCAGAAGCCTCAACAGCTCACCGGCCATCAGGAAAAGACTTTAGGAAACTTCAGGACTTCGCGTTCAGCTGAAGGACTGGGCAGAGGGGGCTCCCCGCAAGCGGCACCTCAGCACAGCCCGTGTGTTACACCGAGCCGAGCAGCGCCACAGCGCGCTGTCACCTGCCCGGCAGCGCACACCTGCCCGNAACGTAAAGAACAAACATTTTCTTGCTTGTCATCGGTCCCGCCAGAGTTAAAACCAAGACGGTGATGCCCAAGATTGGCTGAGTTCCGTACTTTTCCCGTTAGTTTCCCCGCTCCTCCTTCCCACGTTGTTTCACGCCTCTGAACGGATCCAGCTCCAGCCCGTGCCTTCACCGGCTCCTCCGCACCCGAGGGGCTGAGGGGCTGAGGGGCTGAGGGGATGAAGGGATGAGGGGATGAGGGGATGAGGGGATGAGGGGCTGAGGGGCTGAGGAGCTGAGGGGCTGAGGGGCTGCCCCTGTGGCCCCCGCGGATCGCTGGGCCGGCTCGCTGCTGACAGCTGCGGGTATCTGCCAGGGAGCTTAAGGAAATAAATGTATTCTTTTCTCACACAGGGGATGGAGTTTAAATGTTGGGATCTGTGTCTGTTTGCAAATCATCTGCTCTGTGAACAAACTGCCTTCACAAGAATGTCAATGAATGAGGTGTCCTCTGCTCTCACATCCTTCCCAGGAAAGCGGTCACAGCTCCATGGCTCAATAAGTGTTTGGACAATCCTCTCAAGCACAGGGTGGGATTGCTGGGGTGTCTGTGCAGAGCCAAAAGTTGGGGTCAATGGTCCTGATGGGTCACTTCCAGCTCAGCATACTCTACAATTCTATATGACATCAAAAAGCTAAATTGTAGCTTGGGAACCTGTGCTTTTTCCTCAGGTTGTAACAGCCAAGGGTCTATTGATGGAAATGCCCAGCTCGTTACTTGTTTATTAAAGAACACCTTCCTGAGACCTTTTCTGTGTTCAGAGAAGACCCCCATGTAGGTGACCTATTCTGAAAATGCATAGGTTAGAGAATTTTCATAAGAAAATTATGTGGTAACTGACAACGTGCATCAGTGGGGCAAACACTTCAAGTGGAAATTGGTTGTGGCAGGGTGGAGCAAGGAATGTCTGGTTTTTCACCGCAGTGGAGGAAGTTGGGAAGTTTCTGTGGTGGCATCAATCTGATTTTCTTTGACTTTAGAATGAAAATTATGACCTGACAATGGGTAAACCTTTTGAGAAAATCCATGGACTATTCTTAGAAAGCTGATAATTGCAAGTGATTTTACTTTATACTGCTGCTTTAATAGGAAGGCTTACTGATTTTCAGAGGCTGAGGCTCGTTTCCTACGTTGATCTACTGCTCTGTTTCTGAACGAACTGCATCACTGCACCACTTCTAAAATGTCCTTTTATTGAATTGCTATGTGATTTTTATAAGAAACTTTACTAGAAGAGTTACTTTTTTGACTATATAAACAGTACTACTGCTCTCCTTTTAAAGACTAGGAAATATAATGCAAAGACTGGAAACAAAGTTTCAGGTGTTCAAAAGTAACCTGATGTATTAGGTCTTTCTTCTAAGTGCCTTAAGTGCTTGCTTCATAGCTTTGTTTTTTACTTGTAGCAACTCGTATATTTTAGTAAGTACCCCTGAAAGTCTCTACATGTTAGCCTTATACAGACATTATGATATATTTTGGGAAAGTTTTCTATGATAGTCCATTTCTTCTGTAAAAGCTAAAAAAAGTCTTATTTTGAATGTCATTAAAAAAGTACAAAAGTCAAGAAATATGTGAATGAATGGTGTTTCTAACTCTACCGAGTTTCAAGAACCTAATGAAATTTAGCCTCAATTAACCTTTACAGAAAAAACACACAGTTTGTTAAATTAATGACCCTTAGAAGGATAACACTGCACTTGTTTTCTTTGGCTGTGGTAAAAATGTTGGTTTGCTCCAAAGCATGTGTATAACACTGCACTTGTTTTCTTTGGCTGTGGTAAAAATGTTGGTTTGCTCCAAAGCATGTGTATAATCTTTGTGGTATTGTGAGGAAGATAGAAATCCAAGTCAGCCCTCTTCTCCTGATTAGTGAGCAACAGAGCATGCTGGCCATGGGTTGATGAAAATGAATACTATAATTCAATTAACTCTAATTATCTTCAAATCAACTGATCAATAGCTGCAGGATTTTTTTTATTATTTTTTTTTTTTTTGATATTTTGGCCAGCTTAGAGGGCTTTGCCAGGGAAAATGCTAGATATTTGTACCTGTGTGTACTCTGCCTGATGATAACCTATTTTGTTCTGTAATTGTTCTTTCTTACTGAAAGCCAAGAGGAACAACTAAGTGACCATACCATACATTAACAGGTAATTAGAAGGAAAAACCTAATAGAAAAGCTCCAGAAATCTCTCCTTAGTAGTCAACAAACCATTAAAGCTGTGAAAAGCAGAGGAACCTTAAACCATTTTATCTTACTATGCAGTTTCACATGGGGAGCATTTTGAACAAGGCTAAAAGAGCTGGCACTGGAGAACCATGGGGTGAAACCAGTAAAACCTTTTGCAGCAAAAATATTAACAAACTGCCACCTGTCACTGTGGTTTAGAATGGCAGGATATTGTCTGTAACACCTTACAGTTTCAGCACCAGGTCCTGGTTTGTGAGCTGGATCCTTGAGGGCAGCATTGTGCCCTCGCCTTTGTGGCTGGGCAGGGTGTGCTTCCTGGGCAGCTGTGCTTCCATGGGCTTTTGACACAGCAGAGCTTTATATATATAATAAATTTATATAATTCTTTATCCCCTGCCTCTCTATAGCCACTGGCCGCCCTGCAGCAGCCAGGGAAGCAGGGGAGATATTATAGCCTAGAACAGAGAAACGAAACCAAGGCTCTTTCCCTTGCTGAGATGGAAGTTCAGCTTTTATTCTTGGGATCCTGTGGAGGAGAGCAGGAGGAAAAGAAAAGAGGAAGAATATTGATAAGCGCTTCTTTCTGAAGGTGGGAGGAAGAGAGCGGATTACATTCACACAGCCAATAAGGAGAAATGGGGAGAAAGAGATAAGAGAAAGAAACTTACGTTCTACATTTTGGGAGTACATTCTCCCAGGTCATACCATTTTTTCTAAATGCATTACAACAAGAGCTCAGCTGCCTGTCCAAACAGGGACCTTAAAAATTCCCGTTTGAAGGGAACTGTACCCTTGCCCTGACAGCTGAAATGACACTTTTTCTCAAGATACTTGGCATTATTTTCATGGGTGCTTCTTTGTGGCATCTCTGACAGAACGTACTTCCTAATGCAGCTTGTGAGCAGTTTAGCCTGGCTGCTCGGTGGGCACACGGGGTTTTGGGTGCAGCTGTGGTGATGAAGGAGGATGGTGGCTGTGCAGCAGCAGCAGCACAGTCCCTGCCACGAGACTTGCTTCATGCCATATGGATTAAAGGTTATGGGCAACGGGGTGCAGCCAAGAAATCTGTGCTAGTAACTTAATTTAGGATTGTAGTCCTGGACCCCTGTAGAGAACTTAATTTTTCTCATTAGTCCCTGGACAAATTCTTTCCCTAAATCCATATAAAGAATGCTGATTTACTGATTCTTTTCCCAGGGTGTGCATAATAATTTACTTTCCTTTTCAAAGTTTTAAGTGTTTTACTGTTGCTGAAGGATTAAGCAGGTGGCTGTTTACAGCACAAGTTTTCAATATGCCCACATCCATAGCAGAACACGAGTGTAAAACAGAAGTGAGCCAGAAACCTGTTGGAAAAGACAGCAGTGACAAAGGTTGCCCACATTAACTGCCAAAAAACGCTCTTTCTTTATTTTCTTCCTTTTTTTTTTCTTTTTTTTTTTCTTTTTTCAGGCTGAGTGCCTGCCTGCTACACTGTGTTTTTTGCATGAGGGTGAAGAGAGGACTTTTCTCTATTTGTGGTAGTGTTTGCTTATTTAGGTTGCATATTTTGTCCTATTGTTAATATAGTTTCCAAATAAGCAAGTCAGAGGGCATGTAGGTTCTAATTAGTAGTTATCTGAGGCAACTCTCAGAGCAAAAAACTAATTTAAATTGTTTTGGATCTGAACATACTGTATCTACTTGAGTGACAAAACGTTAGAAAGCAAAAAAGCCAAAGTTCTTTGTCGGAAGGCAATTGCTGCATAGCAACTGCATAGAGAGGATGCAGTGAAGCTTGAATGTATTCTCTTTTGTTGCTATTTTTGTCCTTTTTTCTTCATGTTCTGAAATGTACAGAAATTATTGAAGTTGTTGGAATGAGTTATTTCATTCATTGCTACTTATGCTCTAAAATAAAAAGGAAGCAATTAATGCAGTTTGAGTTTTGTATTTTGGGGAGAAAAAGGGAAATTTAATATGCTATTTGTGATGCTGTGACTGAGTTTTCAAATGAATGTGATCTTTGATATATGGAAAAGAAGCAAGGTTAAAGAAATATAAAGATTCTCCATGATAGCAGGTATTTTTCCCAGTCTCACTCCAATTTTGTATCCATCTAAACTAAATCTGTATCCATCTAAATCTAAACTAAATTTCTGTTGTCTTATAATAAAACCAACCTACAAAACCAAAACTTACCACAGTTATTAAAGCATAATTCAACTTTGCATTTAATGGGGTCCATGAACAGCAGCTGGGAAAGAGTTACTTGGAAGAATAACCCGTTTGTTGTGTATCATTAAATAAAACAGTGGGCTGGCTGATTTAGCAAAAGGAAATTTGGAGAGTAATGGGATTGTAAAGGGTTCCTTAATTGCTAATAAACTTGTGAATAAGGTTTTCCATGTGGTGTAGTGTCTGTGGAAAGCTCGTACAAAATGTAGGAGACTGATTTTAACTGTCCTATGGATGTGCCCTGCAGGGGCAAGGGGGACAAGTGCAGGGGTTTGGCCACCCTACAGCTGAGAGCTGATTTGGGCCTTTGGGGTCCCGCTGCAAGGGGATTGCTGGTACTCTGTGGAGTACAAACAGGAGAAGGCCACCCCTTAGTGGGAACAGGGAGGGACCCATAAGAAGCCTTTCCACTTTAATGTGGATGAATCCCAACAGGTAACTCTAAATCAAGCCCAGGTGCAGGTGGATCAGTTACTTGTTGAAAGCATCCTACTCTCCATCACCTTTCTCTATTGTATTCAGTCTCTAAGACAAAGGTGGAAAACGTTGTCCTTTCTATTTCTAGTACTGTTTTCTGTTGTACATCTGTTTTCAGGAAGCTGTAGCAGAGGAAGATGCATGACTATGTGACTCCTGTGTGACACCCCAGTACCTACACAAGAAAATGAGGGATGCATGATTGAAAAGGCAGAACCTTTTTCTCTAATTCAGTAAAGCAGGAAAATGTCCAGAGTAGATTTTATTGTAGAGTAGGTTTTATTGTAGATTTTATTG